AGACGAAGTATTTGTTTCAAGCATGTGATGTCGAAAGATATACTAAAGCTCATTATATGAACTTGATGGTTCGTATGAATAACTATAAGAAAAACAATGATAAAGATAATGTTGATTTGAAGATGGTGATGAATTGGTATGCAACGATTAGAAGTTCGATGCATCAAGCAATCCAAATATTAATGATTTAGATTTGACACTTCTCACAAAAGGGGAGAATGTTGGGGTTCAAAGGTAGTGAGATGTATAAATTATCTTTGTTACTTGTAATGTCAAATTTTGGATTGTATTTTATTTTAAGGACTAATTTAGTATTGAAGCTTAGATGTCAAATGTCCTTATACTTTTTGTGCTTTCAGTTTTCCCTATAAATATGGGAATGATAGGAAAATAACTTTTTCATGATTGTAATCATTTCTCTTTTCCTCTTGTATTTAAGTGATTAAGCAATACAACATGAAAAACAGATTATATTTAGATCTCTTGTTCTAAATCATTTCATACTCTGATTTTGTTTGATAACTCGATTCAATTGGAACTACAGAACCACGATATGAATCTCCCAAGAATAAAGATTGATCATCTCTCCTACGAATAAGGGTACTTAATCCCTCTAAGGTTTAAAGAGTTAATTACCTCTTTCACATGAGTTAAGGTTTATACAGCTCACTTGGACACATGATATCTATCTATGGGATATAAATAAGGGGACAATTTCACGCTTCAGTGACTTGGCAACCCCCTTATTTCTGAACATGGGTTAAGATCCTAAAGTCTGAATCTAATGTTAATAACATTTACATGTTATCTCAAGTTGGGATCTTCCGCAGAAAACTCCTAAGATTTATAACATTGACATGTTATCTTAAGTTAAGGATCCTTCCTGAAATTTGACGACTAAGGATCCTTCCTAACAAACTTCTAAAATAAAGATCCCTTCAAACATCAAGGTCATACGAAGACAAGGAGATCATGACTTCAAACTTTTCCTATGATCACCAGGTTTCATATATCCTTGTTTTTTAAAAACTCTAAGTTTGAGGATCCAAAACTTTTCAGGATCCTAAACAAAGATTATTTGGTTACAGAACTTAAGTCTTTGAGTTTAAAAGGGTTACTTAAAATTTACTAAGAGATTTTTTAGGATTGTTTGCAGGAACTAAGTTCTTTAGGATCCTAGTGATCTTAGGATCCCAGTATCACAAACAATTATACAGGATGATCAAAAGAAAGATATGAAAAGAAAACACAACCATTGTATTAAAAAAGGGGTTGTGCACCAACCCACCAAAAGATTAATTTTTCTACATCCCAATTAAACAAAAATTTATTTAAACTAATCTACGCAGGCCTAGACCTTAGCATGGTCAACATTGGTTGTGTCTTTCTTCTCCTCTCCTTCGGCCAACTGCAATACAGGATCCTGATTGGCGGTAGCAGGCTTGCCAGTCAACTTCGGCTAGCTGCATTCTCCAGATCCTCCGTAAGACGGATCTTGGCCTTCAAAACAGCAACTACAGGGTTGAACTTCGCATCGGAGATCACCTCCTCTATCTCGAACAAGTTTTCCTCTTATTTTTAGCCATCTCCTTGCTGAGCAACTCCACTCTCATCAATAGACCCTTGTTGATTGCTTTCCATATCCTCTCTTATCCTTGAAGGGCTTGTTTAGCCCTCTGCGGTTGGATCCGTAGATCAACGGAAACGTGATCAGAGACCTAAAACAAAAACATAGCGGGTCAGCAAAATGTAGAATATAAGTCGGGAATAAAACCAAAACTTACAACTTGGGTGAAAGAGACCGATTTCTGGAGCGTATCCTTAATTCCAAGGTTCTCCAACGATAGACCTGCAGACTCAACAATTTTTCGTTTCCAGGATCCCGGATTTTTCACTGTTAAGTCAATGGACGATCTTTTGTGAGGAAGAGAATACAAACTCTTCTCCTTTTTCACTGTTAGTTGATCCCTAGACACGGTTGTGTTAAGATCAACAAGTGTGAAGCGGGCACTTGAACGGGTGATATTGGATCCCACATATAATAGAAAAATGTTAAGATCCTTCATCACAAGCAAAAACAATCATTGATCCTTCATCACAAGCAAAAACAATCATTGATCCTTACCAACAGAGGAGCTTTCTTGCAGAGTAGCATGTTCGAATCAAAAGGATCTCTCGGCTTCAGACCAGGCCAATAACTTCTCAATATTCTCTTCTAAATCCTGAGCGATGGGACAAGTTCTTCGAATTTAAAAGTTGCAAAAAATCAAACAAAATAAGAAGAAGTGAATTCCAAGATCCTTATATTAGTATAATAGAATCCTACCCTTCTTAACCCAAGCATCCGACAGGAGATCCCCACCAAGAATGGAGTCAAGTCTCACAAAAAGGTATTTTTCTTTCCAAGCTTCATCGTTGTGTTTGGTTTTCAAGACAAGAGGAGATTTGTGGGTTTTGACTTTAAGAAGAAAGTGAGAATTCCCAAATGTCGTAAGATCATACATACATGCCAGTTCAGAAAGACCTATATCAAGGTCTTTTGAGTGATTCACTTGGTCGATCCAGTATAGGATCCTCCAAACGACCGGCATGACCTAAATATATGAGATCCCAGTCACCTTAAAGAATTTAGAGACAATTCCAGGGAAATGGTATTTCAACGCCAGGGAGAAGGGATATTCGGGGAAGCACACCTAGGTAGGAGAAACAAAGTCAGGTTGGATGAGAGGGTCGAAAGGTCTAAAAACGACTTCAGAAGGGAAGGCTCCATTGAGTCTTAAAGACTCAATGTCATTATCACCAAATGAACATGTCTCCTCGTAGGAAAGAATTCATTGGTCGATGAAGTCATCTTCGGGAAGAGCCAAGATGTTTTTGCGAGAAACGACCATTTTTCTACCCATGATAGAAGAAGTAAAAATATACAAGAAAAAAGAGAGAGTTACCTTCAAATAAATCACCGATAATTGAAAGGTAGCAACGAAAAGAAAAGAAAATTGAAGAGCTAATCATCCCTATTTATACTGTGGGAATAGCTAATTTGACCGCCTGTAACAACTAGTAATTCACCCGTTGAAATTTGAATTATCAAAGCCGTTAAGGGTTAAATTCAAAAAATCCATTATCCCTTCAATATTCTCGAAACTAACTCACTTATTTTCAGGAATAATTTGGGGGAAATTGTTAAAAATAGGATCTCAGAACTACTTTAAGATCCTGAAGTCTAAGGATCCTCAAAGGCTCGAGATCCTCGAAGTTCAGGATCCCGAATAAACTTCAGGATCCAGACTAATATTTTTAATTATTTACAACGGCCATATATTCTTAACCAGTCAAAGTCATTCTTCCAATGAATAGTCGTTGCAACCATGCAAAAGACCTGGAGGACCAAGTCAAGCAACGACTATAAGTTGATCTTGGAGGATCACATAATTTTCGGAATACTAGCACTTGTATTCATCACACTTCACATGATTTTTTGTAGAATACTAGCACTTGTACTCATACTCATTCTATTTTCTCTATAATCATTCATTTCAATCAATAAAATCATCAATGCATGTGATCATTGTCACCTCCCAAGGTTTTATTTCGGAGATCCTAACAATGATCAAGGGTTTTCCTTGTAAACCATATGTGGTAAGACAGTGTTATTTGATTACATTTTGAAACTTATATATATATATATATATATATATATATATATATATATATATATATATATATATATAGAGAGAGAGAGAGAGAGAGAGAGAAAAGAAAGAGAGAGAGATGTCAGGATGGATGGTCCAGGTGTGTTAAAGACTGAATTTTTTTAATTAGAAAAATGTTTAAAATCAATAAAAAGATCAAAAAAGAAAAAGAAAAAGCAAGTTCGTCATTTTAAAAAAGTTCAAAACAAACTCGATCAAACTCGCAACAAAATCAAAATTTTGAACCAGTAATACTACTTAGGGTTGTAAATGAACCGAACGAACACGAACAGTGGCTTGTTCATGTTTGTTCGTTTAAGTTAGCCGAACAAATAAACGGATACGAACGGATAAACGAATGAGTTTTCTTGTTCATGTTCGTTCATTTCACAAATTACATTGTTCATGTTCGTTCGTTTATGTTCGTGAACATGCTAAATGAACATAAACAAATAAACATAAATGAACAAAGATAAACAAACATAGTTGAACATATATGAACATAAATAAACATATAATATAGTAATGTAATCAAACGCAATTAAACATATATGAACATAAAAAGAACTTATATAAACGAACTTAAATAAACAATATAAACGAACGTTCACGAACATAATCAAACGAACGAGACCATTGTTCATTTTCGTTTGTTTAGTTTAACTAAACTAACAAGAATTTGTGTTCATATTCGTTGATTTATTAAATAAACGAACTTTCGGTCGAACGGTTCACAAACAATTCACTAAACGTTCACTTCGTTTACAGCCTAGCCCTAATACAATCCCAAACTTGTGGACAAACATGACCCTCTTTGCAATTCGGTATTTTGTTTTAGAAAAAATTGATTTGAAAGTAGAACGCCAAATGACCGACTTTGACAAATTAGTGTGTGTATTTTAACTTAATTTGGGCACGTCAACGTTTGTCTAGCTCAAGTATTTGTACCCGCTGCATCATTAGATGTAAAATTTTCGCCTGCTGCTGCGGTGGAGAATATCGAATTTTTATGTAAGTGTTTGCGAGAAAGACTTTGTATGCTGTGCATAAATAGATGTATTCAGCAATTGGTGCAACTGTACGCTGTGCATAAATAGATGTACCTCCATCCTTATTCGTTATTTTTAATTATTCGTTATTTTTAATGTATTCAACAATTGGTGCATTTGTGTATTACAAAAACAGCGTGTGCTTCCCATCTTTACAAAAACCAGCTTCAAACCCTCTCCATCCTCCCAACTCCACACTCTATTCCTCTCCGTAGTTTTCAAATCCAAGTACCACAACTCAGAAGCCAAATCCCAAACGATGGACCATTTAGATTACGATCCACATCCACGTATTCTTGGTGGAAGAGTCGAAGAGCTTTCCGACCTTGCTGGAGATGAAGAACAACCCCCTAGACCTAATCCACGACGTGCTTGGTGAGTTCTATTTCTTGATAGTTAGATTACTTTATTCCGGGATCATGATTGTCGAGACTCTGTTTTTTATTGTAGTACAAATACTTGATAAATCGGTTTTAATTCGGTACTCTGTTAGGAGGTTATATGGCTGTGTTCTGGTCGATGTTGATTTTGTAGTGTATTGGTGGTGGTGGCAGCGGCGGTAGTGAGGGGGTGCTCGAGTGACGGTTGTTGATTCCGATCACTTTTCCCAAGCTTTCATTTAATTCTCTATCTTAAAATTATTCTAAACAGACCCTGACTCTGTTTCCATGGTATAGTTGGTGGGTGGTGAATGTGGGAACGTGGGTTTTGATTCCATGCTCGATGATTGTGAATAACGTAAGGAGGGTTTCTGGCGATGGCGTGGTCGCCAGTTGTGAATAGGGGTCGTAGATTTCGTTTTAATAGTATAGGGGTGGTCATGGTGGTGATGACGGCGGTGACAGCCTGTTGATGGCGGTTGGATCAGCGGTGGCTGTTGATTCCGATCATAATTTTTTCCATGGAGGGAGGTCTAAGGGTGTGGCGGGAGGTGGATAAAGGAACGGAAAAGGAATTATGGAGTATCGGTTTGACTTTGAGGTGACTGCGTGAGGAGTGAGAGGTGTATTAAATTTAATTAGTTGAGTATATTTCCGTATGATCACTTTTAGCTCACTCTGTAAATTGTTCTTCCCTTTTTCAAATTCATGATACATTTATTAATGTGATGATATTTGTGTTTTACTTCAGGATTCATGATTACTCAACAATCTTGCATCTAATGTACACTGCAACTCTTGTAACCATCTACTTACCAATCATATCACTTATTCAAGTGAAGTTTCAAAACCAAAAAAAATCTCCTTTTGAAACAAGTGGTTTCTTTATGAACTTATCAGTTGTTGCTTTATGCATAGCTACAGCCACTTCAGGAGTCCTGTTTTACATAAACCATCGGTTGCAAAACTCAACAATGGAGGACTTCTCTCTTGTTCATTACATGATCCTAAAAGGAGTGTTTTCCTTCTTTGGCATCCTCACCCCTGTTTCCCTCATCCTCGTGTTAATTATCCCTAAGAAGCTTGATTGGATTAGTTACTTAACCATATGTGTACTCCTTGGTGTCGTAGCCATATCTAACTACCGTGTCTACAAGAGGTTAAATGACATGGAAGACGAGATCAACATGGAAGCTCATCAAATGGTCTAAAAGTGCCACGTTTGAAATTATATGGTTCGTGAGAATTACAAGAAGACATTTTCATATACAGGTTTTGTTATGTCATTAATATGTTTATTGAATAATTCAGGCAATTGTTATTCTATTTCTTAAGATGAAATATCCACAATTATAATTTTTGTAATATATTTGAATGTTTGTAATATCTTTGTGTGTTTGTAATTTGCTTTTTTTAGAAAGACACGTCATCTATTGTTAATTTGTGACAACTTTTTTCTTTTATTTATAACATGGTCACAAGGCGAGCACCAACATTTATATCTTTCACAAAGCTTTCCCGAGTATAGAACATTTATACCAACATTTATATCTTTCACAAACCCCAATCGTTTATAATGATCAAATAGTATCATCGTGCCCAATTAAATCAAACTATAGTGAGGATGTGTATCTTAGGTCCTTAACTTCCCATCTAAGTTCAAAAATTATATGTAAGGATCAAGAATGGATAAACACACATCATACATGATAAATTGCTAAGAAAAAAAATGATAACACAAAGCAACTAACATGATTCACATAATTAAAGTGACCGGAAAATCCACAGGAGCCACAGAGCACGCATTCAGGAGCCATTCAAGAGCCACAGAGCGTGCATCCAAGAGCCATTCAAGAGCCATCAGAGCGCATTCAGAAGCCGCTAACACATCCAGGAACTTTTGTAGGACATTCAAGAGCCATTGGGGACATTTAGGAGCCACTAGCGCATTCTGATGCCTGGAGCGCATTTGGCCCAATACTCCACCATAATCCAAATGATCCATCTTATTTCCAAATGCTCCATCTTGATTCCAAGTGTTCTGGACGTCTTTCCGATCTTTAATGTTCAAGTCACAATATCCACATTAATTTTAGTGTACTCCAAGCTCCATAAACCAAAAACTTCTTGCTTCCTCCAACTAATTTGTGTTGTACGGACTTAACTCTTGTGAACATCTACCAAGTCCAAGAAAAGTTTTAACTTCTCCGTAGGCAACGACTATGTTAACATGTACGTTGTATTCTCCTTGGTATTAATCTTTACGATAGAAAATTTGTCTTCCTCTAGAATGTCACAAATGAACTTCAACCTACCACCAACACGATTCATCTTCTCATAATAAACTGGATTTTCTCAAGAGACAAGGCACTCTGACTGTCACAATATAAGAGAGGCTCTTCAACTTTAACCTAAGACTCTCAACTAACCCTATACACTTTTTTTTTAAGTTTAATCATTGACATGTATTCAGCTTCAGTTATAGACAATGCAACTATATCATGTAACGTGAACTTCTAGCTAATAGGACATCCAAATAAAGTGTAGATATTACACATTCATGGTCTTTTTTTTTTCATAAATCACCACCATGGTATGATCCTGCATATTCAACTAAGTTATTATGTGTGTAAGCACCATATACCAGATGGATATCTAACATTCCCTTTAAGTATATATTTACTACACTAGTTGCATGAGCCAAATCAAGTTTGGTATATATCATCGCCTATATGAGACTTCTATTAACACTTAAATATGGAGCCTTGCTCATGTAATTTATTTCTTGGCTTATAGTTGGTATAATATTTCGATCAAGTTTAAAATATGTTGCCCTATGAATACCAACTGGTTTGGATTGATCAAAATCGAATGACTATAAGATTTTCTCAATGTACTTTTGTTAAGAAATATAAAACTACCCTTCTCTTTTATCCTTTCGAATCTCCATCCCTAATATCTTATTTGCAACACCTAAATCCTTCATCTCTGACACATTTTTTAGTAGCGCCTTTAAGTCATTAATCTCAACATATTCTTGGTTGTAATAAGCATATCATCTACGTATAGCAACATATATATATATATATATATATATATATATATATATATATATAGACACACACACACACACACATATATATATATATACACACACACATATATATATATATATATACACACACACACACACGTACGCACATACATATATAGGACCCATGAGACAATTTCTTTGAGTAAACACATTTATCAAACCAGTTCTGAATGTAATCGTCTGAATCATAAAAGAATCAAATATCTTGTACCATTGTCGTGGAGATTGCTTCAAACCATACATGGATTTCTTCAGCAAACATACATGATATTTATTTGAATCCATGAACCTTTCTGGTTGGTACATGTTCACGCTCCTAATCAAATTCATAAATCTTCCCATCTAGAATGCCATGAAAAAACATGGTGTTAAAATCAATATGTTCACGCTCCTAATCAAATTCACTCATCATGTCCAATAGCACCTGAATCGATTTGTTCTTCACGGCCGGTAAGAAAACCTCATGATAGTTGATCCCTTCTTTCTATGAGAACCATTTTGCCACTAACCTCGTTTTGAACCTAGCTGGTTCAACTCCAATATTTTTTTCTCTTAAAGATGCATTTTCATGACACTAGTTTTGTCCTTTCGATAATGGAATAGTATCTCATGTTTCATTCTTCTCCATTAATTTCGTTTTTTTAATTCATCGTCATTAACCAGTTAGTTACTTCTTTACTCGTTACAACCTCCTTGTGTGATTGATGCTCATAAATATCAATGTCTTCTCCAATTTCCAATTTATTTGGTACATAATCGATATACATGAACTGATACATCCAACATATTATAACACCTTTCAAAACAAAATTTTAATTTATGGTCACATAATTCTCATAACACATTTCACAAAAATCTTATTTATTTAATTTACAACTCGCAACTCCCTAATTGTTGATTAAAATCCAGGATCCTTAAAAAACATAACTCTTTCACTGGTGTGTACAATCAAGTCGGTGCCTTCCCGCGATACTGTAACATACACGTTTTGAAATCGTGTTTTGTAATGAATAAAATTGTGAAATACTATGTGAAATTGAGTGTTGAGTTCTAATAGATGGTTTTTACTAGAAATAAAGTAAAACTATGTTTAGAATCACTCAGAAAATATTGGAAGTCTTATGAGATTCCAATTAAAAGCCAAATAGTGAAATTTAGCGAAAATATAAAAATTTAAATAAGTAAAATTTTATTATTTGATATTGTATAGAATCTCGTTAGAAACTTGTAGGCGAAAACCTCATCAAAATCCGAGTTATAACGAAGAAGTTATGACCAACCGAAGATCCGCGACAAAACCGGTACGGCGCCGAATGACGTAAAAAGCGAGTTTTTGATAAACTACTTTTTAGCCTTAGTAATCTAAATGAAATTCGTAGTATTTGTTAAACCGAGAAATTCGATAAAAAGAACGCCAAAATGTAACTTCATATGAGGAAGTTATGATTTTTCGAAGTTTCAACTTAGCAGTAGACAGCTAAAAACTCGAATTTTAGATCGAGCAATATTTGACCGATACATCCTAAACGAGAATCAAAGGTCTCGTCATTTTTAGTACAACAGTAAAAAGTCTGACGAAAACAGGTGTCGGATGAAGAGGTTATGAATTTTTAACGGATTTTCCTGTCCCGGTCTGTTAAAAATAATAATATAAATAAAGTCAAAATTAGCCGACAAAATCTAAACGAAAGTTGTAGAGTGTAATTTTAGTTACGCGTGCATATAAAGAACGTTAAAAATGGAGCTCGTATGCGAAAGTTATGTATTTTAGAAGTTCGGGGCTCGAAATCCGAGAATTTCGCATGAACAATGTTCGGACACGTCACCTCGCACGAAGCAACAGCGTCACCGGAGACGTGGCCCAAACCGAGACCGACGCGTGTCGCCTACCAATTCGAGCGAAGTGCGAGCCAATCAGCTTCCGACGCGCCTCGCTGCGGTGTCCGAACCTCGCCCCTCCACGTCTCGCCTACCCGTCTCGCATACGAAGCCACGTCCGAGCCTCGTGGCCTTCGCTTCTCGCGCCACCTGCCCCTCGCTGCTGACGCCACTGAGCTGCTTCGCTGCTTGCTTCCTTCCCAGCCGACTCCGAACCTTGGCCCTATAAATAGGAGGGTGCGAACCCTCCTGGCTAGAATTTGAAATTTGCCACTTTTAGCCCCTCTTTCCATATTTTCTTCATTTTGACTTTCCCCGAAGCCCCGGTATCAATTTTAGCACCCGAAACACGTCCTGAGACCCCCGAGAAGCACAAAAATTTTATCTTTTCAGTTTTGAAGCCCTACCTTCGCAGAGCCCGGTTTTCAATTAAGCTCTCGGTTTTAAACATAGAAAGACATATTTAAAGCCGAAGTGTTGTCCAAATTACTATTTTAACCCCCGGTTAACTTAAGGTGAGTTCAATATATAGGAACAATAGTATGTTATGTGTTATATGTGATATGTGCTTTTCAGTGTTATTATTCTGAGTTATTTTCTCGTGTTATTCGCTATGTTTATAGCAATTGTAATACCTTTGACCATGTGATCGGTGAAAGGACTTAGATTCACATTGGTACTGGTACGTAGCCTTTGGCCATGTAGAGCATGTCTCCGTAAGAGAATGACTTCTATTCTATGGCATTGGCAAATGGTTAGACAAGACTATAAGCCTGAAATCTAACAAGATGTTAATCAGAAATTGCATGTCTTCTATTCCATTTGGGCCAAAGCTTTATTGATGTATATCAAGAATTGAAAAGTATATCTTTGAATAAAGTCTTTGATTGATATGAACGCTTGTCACATGATCTCACATACATCTTGTTGTTCCTCTTTGCTTTTGCCACATTGAAGTATATATGTGGCATAACATTATATTGTATCTATTTTTGAACTCACTAAGCGTCACCGCTTACCCTATCAATGTTTAACAATTGTAGGTGATAAGTAACTAGTATGTTTACATACTATTGAAAGATGTAGAATAGTTTTTAATAGTACTTTTGTACTACAGTTTATGTTTGTATAAATTACAATATCCTGGGTAGTTATGTAATATATATATAACACTTTGTAATAGAAGGTTTGTATCCAATAGTTTGTAATTCCCTTTATCAATGTAAAATATTGCTTTTA